AGCGCGTAGCATCGTCCCAGGACCAGTGGGTCAAAGGGGCCCTGGAGCCTAAGGTGGGCCCCGAGTTTGACCTCACCCTCAGCACAGACTCTCTGCTCCAGAACATCCTGCAGCTGGACTTCTGCCAAGGCAAAGGTAAAGAAAGGACCCAGAATTCCCAGCATGCCTTGTGATCCTTCTTCAACTGTCGTTCTCCAGTTTTCATTTCTCCTCGTCTCTTCAGTCATTCGATATTTGACTCATTATGGTCTGGACTCCGACCCAGAGAAAAGGTTTAAAAAAAATCAATAGATAAACCTGACTCTCATTTCCCATAATGTAATTCAATAGTTGTAATCAATGCCATAACCAGCTGTGAATAATTGTGCAATTAATTGATTTTTCTAACCACTGTTCTGTTCAGGACATGAAGAATGAGATGTTCAGACACCAGGTCAAATTCACCTGCTGTCCACTAGGTGTAAACATGCTACATCGGAGCAGCAGTTCCCAAAATAGGGGGCGGGGAATAGTCATATTTTTAATTCCAGTGTAAAACTGTAAAGTCCAGATTGTAAAGTGCAGATAAAATGGACTGAGGTTTCTAGAAGGTTCTCAGCTCTTTAGATATTAATAACTGCTGCTGCAGCTGCAGCTGCCCGTGGGTTAACGCTGCGTCCTTTCACTACATACACCCAGAGACCAGCCCACGTGAATTCTTCATGTGTATTAATATGGAATCAGCACTTATTGCATGTATTATTCCCACAATGCTGCAGTCAGGCTGTACTCCCCCTGCTGGTCAAATATTGTGTATCGTTCTCGTCCATGTTGTTCCACGACACCTGATAATGAAAACATGTTTATTTTGCTGCCGCGGTTCCTCCAGAGGTGCAGGAGAACTCCTTATTGATAGAAAGACAGGAGGCTAAGAATGATGAGGCTGAGGTGGAGCCACAGAGTCCAGGAGGTATTTAAAAAAAAAAATCTGAACCCAACTGTTTTCCTATTTGGTCACCAAATCTACGTTACCACATCTGAACCCAACTGTTTTCCTATTTGGTCACTCCCTCCTGATCCTGATCCCGATCCCGATCCCTGTCGGACATCACAGAGATCCTGGTTGGAAACGTGTTTGTTGTTGTGACACAGACCTAATTAATCAGTCACTTCTCATCAATAATGGAACTGGTGTCAATGTTTAGTTTTCTGTCCTGGTCCTGTCTGTTTCCTGTGTCTGAGCATGTGGTCGACCTGACATCATCACCAACACCTGTGTCCAGGTACTCTACAGTCAGTAGAGTACTCTACGGTCAGTAGAGTACGCTACAGTCAGTAGTACTCAGTAGTACTACAGTACTCACTACAGCTGGGGCGTCTTCTTAAATAATTACCGGCCTCTAAGTTGACACATCCAGGCAATAATTTGTTTTGTCGTGTTCACCCTGGTTGAAGGTAGAGTATGCAGGAGTTTAGATCTAAACACACAGATAAAGCTGTGAAATCAACAATATTTCATTTCTAATTCCACGTTTTATTGGTCAGTCATTGAAGTCAGCTTTCCGTCCCACCCCTCCCTAACATTTGTTTTCTCTGACTTTAAACCAGAAGTGATGTTTTGACTCGTCAAAAAAAAAAAACAACCAATGGTTTATAACTGAGGAAATTTCTGCAAACTTTTCCTTTAAAAGCGACACTGATTTCCCTCCTGATGTCTTCTTCACCTTCTCCACTAATTTATTAAGATACTTTTTTTCCAAGTTTACTTGAAAACACCCCACCCAACCTGACCCCCGCCCCCCAGTTTGACCTTCCATTCTCCTGTCTTTTCTCTTCCTAAACCACCATTGTATTTATTCTCCGTCCATTCATCCAACAGTGGAGACTGGACCGTCGGTGCCGGGGCCCCCGCTCCTGCAGCTGGAGAAATGCTGCACCAGGAACAACAGCGCCACCTTGGCCTGGAGAGTGACAGCGCCCACAGGGAACCCGATCGAAGGCTACATCCTGGAGCTGGACGATGGCAACGGCGGGCAGTACAGGGTAGGAGCAGGAAACGGTGTCACCACTACAGTCTGGTGTACACGCAGTACAGACTGTAGTAATAGTAGTAATACTCGAGTATTACCAAGAGATGCAGGTGTTAATTTGAACATGACCTGGATCATCAGGAGGTTCAAACCCAGACCTGTGGAAACCCAACCTTCTCTAAAGCATGGATTAATATAGGGGGGTTAAACGTATGGCCCGTGGGCCAAAACTGACCCACTTCGGGGTTCAATCTGGTCCACTTGATGAATTCTGTGTGTGAAAAAATGTCACAAAGTGTTTGTGATGTTGACGTGTAGATGTGACGGTGCAGATGTTGTGGTTTCAGGAAGTGTACGTTGGGAAGGAGACGGTGTGCACGGTGGACGGCCTCCATTTCAACAGCTCCTACAACGCCCGGGTGAAGGCCTACAACGCCGTCGGTGTGGGGCCGTACAGCAAGACCGTGGTGCTGAAGACCTCAGATGGTAGGCTGGCTGTGTAAATGTGTGTGTGTGTGTGTGTGTGTGTGGGGACAGACCGTCTTTTATCTCGTCTCCTGTCATCGTCTGAGACGAAGCTTCTGTTTGAGATAATCACAGGTTTTTATCCTGTCCAAAAAAGACAGGAATCAGCGGAGAGAAAACAGAGGAAAGCGGAGACGTCTGTGGACCGTCGTTGTTCTGGGACACAGACGGTCCACAGACGTCCTCCTGTCAGACTAACGACTGACGTCTGATAAATCTTTGTCGCCCCCCCCCCCTCTGCACCTTCCCTCACCCTCCTCCTCCATTCAATCCTTGTTAATGAAGCATCTCCACTTCCATCTTTCCTGCAGTGGCCTGGTTCACCTTTGACCCCTCCTCAGCTCACCGGGACATGGTCCTGACCAACGAGAACCAGACGGTGACCTGCAACAGCTACGACGACCGCGTGGTGCTGGGAACGGCTGCTTTCTCCAAGGTTAGGAAACAGTTCCAGGCTGTTCCAGGTGGTGATGTCACATGTTGGTCGTTGACCGTGATCACTGGTCACAGCACCGGCGTCTGGATTCATCCCATTTAATTATTCCATGTCATGGTGGCGTTTCCAGGGCGTCCATTACTGGGAGGTCAGCATCGATCGATACGACAACCACCCGGACCCGGCGTTTGGCGTGGCCAGGATTAACACCGTGAAGGACATGATGCTGGGGAAGGACGACAAGGCCTGGGCCATGTATGTGGACAACAACCGCTCGTGGTTCATGCACAACAACTCCCACACCAACAGGTGAGTGAGTGGGCGGAGTCAGGGCGGAGTCAGGGCGGTGACAGTGTCTGTGGTGAGAAGGTTCATCAGTAATCACCAGCTGCCAATGTGGCTGGTTGTCTGTGTGAGTGGAGCTGATGAGTGTTGTCTGGTGATTTTTTTTGTTTGTTTTTGATTTTATATGTGAAAAGAAAAATCTTTAACTTCAGTAAAAACCTTAGAAATTGAGGGAAACTGGCTTCTGTTGGAGTTTGAAGGAGTTTGGATGTAGGTACCAGAAACTGAAGTTAGACTGAAACTGGTGTCACTCCCTGTATGTGTGCACACTTAGATCCTGAAATTCACATGTTCAGGTTCAAAGCCATAGAAAGTACTACAGGTCAAAATCCTCAAACTTTGAATCCTGAGTACTTTCATCAGTCCTGCTGAGTCTCTCGCATGTTTGTTTCTCAGTCTTTAATGCAGCTCTCATACTCTGTTTATGTCAACACATAAATAAAATATGATCTCAGAACATAAAGAGAAAAAAATCACATTTTCCTCACAGTGAACACAGTCGGCTGAACAGAAAGAGAGCGGAGCTTTTCCACTGTTGGCACATTTTAGAACCCTGTCTCCTGTCTTCCTGTGAAGTGTCTCTCAAACCATTTTCAACTATTTTCAATAATGAATTTCAATTAATGAATACAAATGGTATTACTGCTTTGGGAAGTATTTGAATGAAGTAATGAACCTGATCGTCATGTTATTAAATCAACATCAACAAGAACGAACAGCAGGGGTCTCTGTACAGCAGCGCTTTGATCTTATTACACACACGCACGCACACACCCCCGTGTGTGTGTGTAGCATAATAAAAGTAATACTATATATTCAGAGTGACAGGGAGACCCCCGGGGGCTCGTACCTTTCCTACTAACAAACCCACCAGGGAGCAGTCGGAGCAAAAAGACCGCCGGCTACTGAAGACATCAAACATCAGTGTCAGCACAAAGTGATCAAACTACCAACCCAATATTTCACCAGACAATGTTCTCGTCTCTTATTTAGACCTAACCTCAACTCTTCAAAGGTTCAGGAAATGTGCGTTTGATTTTATTTCTCTTTGATTCCGCAGCGCCACCACATATTTATTCACTGCTGCCGTTGGCTCTGGCGCCATAAATCATCCTCCGTGTGTGTGTGTGTGTGTGTGTGTGTGTGTGTGTTTGGCCTTATTTACGTTGTTTTGACTCCCTCGTCTCGGAATACAGGCTGTACAGAGACCTGTATCCTGAGGCGGCCATCTTTGTTGTGGGCTCACAGTTCAGCTTCAGGCAGGTTCATATATAGACTGTAGTGAATGAAAACAGAGAGTTGACTTCATGGTCATTAAGGTCAGTAAGGCTGCTTCTTTCTGAAAGGCTGTTTCTAGAGCTGTGATGTCATCAGCGTGCACACATTCATGACCATTTATTTCCACTAAATTCATGTTTTATGACAGTAAAATAAAATGTTTTTGTTTTTATTTGTTTTTATAGACGCTGTCAACAAAAATGACAAAACTTTATTTGTAGTTACGTCACTTTGTCTATAGGTGTCACTCAAATTGTGACTCCACAAATAGGCAATGAATTGGGGCAAATGGGTTTTGGGTTCAATCCTGACAGCGACCACTGGTTTGATGTCACTGTGGTCTTCCACCTGCAGGGCCGAGGGGGGCATCACCAAGGGCTCGACTGTGGGGGTCCTGCTGGACCTGGTCAAACACACCCTGACCTTCTTCATCAACAAAGAGCAGCACGGACCCACCGCCTTCACCAACCTGGACGGGGTCTTTGTGCCGGCGGTCAGCCTGAACAGAAACGTTCAGGTCAGTGTGGTCAGCTGTGGTCTTTGGTTCTGTTTAGGACAAACTAGTCCACAGGAGTGTGCTAAAGCAGAGGTCCCTGACCTTTCTATAGACACACAGAGAGAGAGAGAGAATGAGCTGTGTTGACTCAGCTGTACTTGAAGTAGCTGTACTTTGAAGTACTTTGAAGTACATTCTCCTGTTTTTCATGAAGTTTTTGACAAAGCTGAATTTCTTGACCTTCCAGGTGACCTTACTCACCGGCCTGGAGGTGCCAAAGAATATCAAACAGTAGGAGCTAACCCTCCTCCACCTCCTCCTCCTCTGAACATGCTCTGGAGACACACTCCCAACATCAATCATGTCCAGAGTGGATGGATTTTCCTCCCCCACCCTCACCCTCACCCTCACCCACCTTCATCCTTCTCCATCTGTTGACGCTCCTCACGTTGCACCACCATCATCATGGACGAGGTTGTATATTAGCGTTTGTACAGTAGCTGTACTGGAACCATGACTGGAGTTACTGTGGACCCTGGTACAGGACTCTCTGTTGTACCCTCACCCTCCTCAACCCTGTGGCTCTAACCAAATCAGAGGTAAAAAGACTTCTACACCAACCGCAACCCCTGGTCCGTGGACCAGTGCCAGTCCGTAGGTCATTTGGTACTGGATCTCAGTGGGATGCAGTTAAAAAAAAAAGCACTTCAGTTTTCTCCAAATTTACTTCATTCAAAATGAATCCAGTCAATATCCCTTTACTTTTTTTATTTAAAAGATATTTTAACAATATTTCGAAACAGGTCAAAGGTCAATTTGAAAATTGAAAGATCCTTCAGTGATGACGTTATTACGGCTGTCACTGGCCGACCGATCCTTGATACCTACACTGTGCAGTGACCTATGTTGACCTGTGTACAGTCCAGTGGGTCATCTGACCTCTGAGGGTTTTTTAAGCATGCTGCCTCAAACGGACTGTTTTTTCTGTCCCAGTTCTAACGGCGTGGTGGGCAGTTTCTGTTTCTGCTGCTGAAATATTAACCATAAAAATAAAAAGCGACCGTTTCCCTGCAGCTTCCTCCGAGCTGTGGCTGCAGCAGTTCTGCCCACAGCTTCAGGGGATTTTAGTTTGAGTTTAATGGAAAAATGATTTAGGACCTGAGGCAACAACTGGACATGAGGGGAAATAAAAAATTCATGTGGAAAATCCACACAGCCGGAGAACAACACAAAAACTACAGTGGCATAAATGTATTGACCAATCATGTTTGAACACAAAACACATTGGACCAAAAGACTTTTTAAGTTTCTTAATTTTGCTGCACAGAAAAGAAGAAATCCACACTTCATTAAGTTCAATAATAATAATGATTTATTCCAAAGTCATTATTGAGTTTTTCTCTGTAGATGAAGTTTGTTCTTTTATACCTTTACACAGACTCTAACCTCATTTTAATTTAGGATTTAATGCCTTTATGGCTGCACCTGTACGTGGTGGCCACGTAAAAAATCTCTGGGAAGAAAAAGAAGCTAAAATTGTTTTTTGGTCAAGTTGCATGAGAAAATTGTTCCAGGCCTCATTTCTGAGTCTGTGTCGATAGAAGAACTGGAACTGATGTTGAAAATTGCTGCTACGATTTTATGTCACGTCAACAAAAACATCTTTTTGTTCATTTATCTTTATTCCACACCAGTAACAAATAAGTTCCCCACTAAAAAATATGTATTTCCGGTGTTCGAATCCACAGTGGTGTAAATACTGATGAGTATGTTATGTACAGAACGGAGCATGGATGGAGAAGCATCGACTGACGTTTACTGCCCTCTAGTGTCGGATGCTCTTCTGTAAATAGGAAACTGTTATTTCTACTATTGTCTGCTGCCAGTCACAGCTCAACAACAAGAACAGATTGTCTTTCTCTTAACTTAACACATATATTTTCAGTTTTTTCATGTCATATTAATTATGTAAAGAACAAACGAGTCCTGACGTTGACCAGTAAAAACATAATGTAGGCAGGTGACGTCATAAATGCCTGAACTTTGCCAAAGGGACTCGTGTTTTCATCGTGCTGCCTGTTCACGTTGAAGGGCTTCACAGTGACGTTTTCTTCTCTGTCCTCACAGCAGAGAAAAACAACAGCCTCCAGGGCAAAAGGTTAAAAACTAAAAACCTATATATAATCCAAAACTTTAAGTTACACAGCTATTGTTTGTCAGATTAATTTTTATATTTTATTCCAAATGTCTGACTCTAAGTTTTGGGTTTTTACATTTACACAGATGTGAAATGACCTGTGCATTTACTTTGTAAAAATATATTTTTTTCCAAAAATATTACTATTTAAACTATTTCATATATATTTCATTGCCATCTACAAACGTATTGTGACCTTTTCTGTTATGATGTCATTGTTAACGGCGAGTCCCTTTACCTCACACCCACCTGTGAATGTGACCTGTATTATTTTTAAATGTGGTGCTGGAGAAAAAAAACATGTTAACTTTATTATTTTTTCTTTATAATTGAGTATAAAAATAACAAATACAGTATGTAAATACATTGATGACATATTTATTTTATCAGTACAGCAGTTTACAGTTTGTACAGGTGACTGTCAGTGGCTGCAAAATAAATCAAAATTCACGTTTTGTTTCTGTGAAATTTAAAAAAAAAAAAAATCCAAAAAGCTGCTTCTGGGAGATGACGAAACGTGTGACCTCATCCTGCCGTACACTGTCGCATCACGTCACTGGACCTGGTTTTATTTGAACGGTCATCGCCGTTTTCATCCAAACTCTGAAGTTTACATCTCAGTGAGCAGCAACAAGAAGCTCTGTGAGTTTTTTCATAAAAAATCTGCCAGGATATGTGTGTGTGTGCTTTTATAAAAATGTCCTCCGTCTGTTCTGTCCTGTTCTGACCCCCGCCCCGCACCTCTGTAAATGTTTTGTAAGACTGATTTGTAAACGACTACTGCGTCGGAGCGCCGTCATTTGTTAAAAAAAAAAAGAAGAAAAAAAATAGAAAAACCACTTAAAAGCAGCAGTTTTGTGATCATTTCTAAAATTAAATAAATAAACTGTGATGGAACCTATTTCTCTTTTTTGTGTTGATGTGAAAACATGAGACATCCCTAGACACAAGGTCAAGTCCTCGGTCAAACCGACTTATTTCTTTCTTTTGCTGCCTTTGATTGTCTGGATCTCCTTGGGGCTGAGGATCAACATGCCGTTCTTGAAGCGGCCCATTTGTCCTGTGGGAGCTGAGCCAGAACCAGAGGACGTCGTCTTCTGGTCCCTGGAGGAGGAGAGGCATGGAAGGAAGGAAGACGGAGATTTGAGTCAATGACACGAAGGTTAAAAACTATGAGGTTATTGAGGAATACTGTGTGATCGATTACTACTACAGTACTTCATGTAACTGTAGAAAAACTTCACCCACCTCGGTTTTTTCTGCTTCTTCTTTTTCTTTAGCTCCTGTGGATGACAACCAGGAGGTAACAACAATACTTTGCAGTAATACTTGTGGTACTGTGATATTCTCAGAGTAACTAATCCACTGCCTCACCGGCTCCAGCTCCACCTCCTCCTTCACTTTCTGCTTCTTCTCTCTGATCTGCTGCTGCAGCACTCTGTAGTTGACGTATGGTTTTTTGGGAGGCTGGACGACAGAAAATTATCAACGATTAAATCAGTAACCTGGTCACATGACCTGCTCTGTCACAGCTGGAGCTAATGATGATGAGATGCAGGGAAGTTCTCACTCTGGCTCCCAGCATGATGGCTCTGTCCTGCTCAAACCCACGCTGCTCCTCCTTCTTGTAGCCCGTGATTCCGAAGCGGTGGACCTCCAGACGAGCCTGAAGTCGAGGTACACACACATTAGTTTGAGCACCTTCTAAATATGAACCCTGACAACAACAACAACAACATGTAGATGTACTGTAACATGAACCCTGACAACAACAACATGTAGATGTACTGTAAGTGTCACCTTTTCCAAACTCAGTTCTTCCTGAATCTGGTCATTTTTCTTCTTTTGTGTCGTCGTCGGAGTCTTCTAGTGAAGACAGAACAGGCCAAAAAAAAAGAGAAAACCAATTGTTTTGTTTTCAATATTTGACTTGAAAAAAACATTTTTTTAATGTGTCATCAAATAAGAACTCACTGGTGTGGCTTCTACAGCCGTTCTCTGACTGGTTTTCGGTCTTTTCCTCGGATCCTGAAACGTCACCACCTCCACTTTGTTGCCCCGCTGTGCAGTGGTACCTGGGTAACACGTGAAGTTATGTGTAAATTATGTGGAGTGAGATTTTTTCTTTTTCAGCCTAATGCCATGAGAAAGAAGCCTCAACCTGCGTGTTCTGTTTTTGTATGCTGCTGCTGTAAAGCACCAGCAGGTGGCGCTCTGTGGTTGTCGGTGATGCTACTCCTGTTTCCAGCTCCAGTGGACTCCTCTGTGTCCTCCTCCAGCTCTCCCTCATGTTTTCTTCTTTTCTTCTTATTTGACTTGAGCTTCTTCGAACCAGTGCCGTTATCTACATCACAATAACATAAAAATCCGATTTTAAGATCTTTAAATTGCTGTCACTTTTTAAAGAATGATTTCTAGTTATTTAATGGACACAAACATAACTCGGAGGTTTTATAACAAACCAGAACAAATCCACAAACCCGATATCTGTGACTATACATGTATATAAATTGTTCTCCACATATGCATAACAAAAGGTTAGCCACGTAGTAATTACACAAGCACAAGCAGTTACACGTACCGAGGTCGTAGAACTTGTCCAACACTTGTTCAAGAAACAGAAAATCCTTGTCCTGCTTTGTGGGTCTCTTTGAGCTCATTTTAAACTAAGAAGACGTAGCAAATCTCTAGCCTTCAGCTGTTATAACGCTAAAGCTAACAGTGTTGTAGGTAGAGTCTGAATGACAACAACCCACGGAACCACGTGGTTAGAGGAAACCCGACCAAATGTGTCAAATCGCGGCCTCCGTAGCTACGTAGCCGGAAGTGGCATCGCCCGTGAATTGACGGTCCGTAGGAAGATGAGCGGTCTCAAGTTACCAGAGTATATGTTTTGTTTGAAAAGTTAAGCGAGGTTTGTTTCATATATTATAGCACGTTGGAAATTGTGTCTACGTCTCCAAAAGGACTGATTAAAATGGCGCCCCTGCCCGTTTACTCGGTATGTGACTCTGCTAAGTGGCTAAGCTAACATAAGTTTGTGCTACTGCAATCTCAGTTTAACATTTGACAGTTCATTCAAACATGAATGATTTTCACAGTCACAAGTGGTAAGAAAGACAGAAACTAGTCACACTTGTCTTCTAACCAGTACGTTGTTAATTAATTAAATTCAACTTATGGAAGAAAGTTTTCAAATTTAAGTAGGTTATTAAGTTAAATACAGATGTGTGCGTTTTTCTAACGCAGTACGATGTTTTCTCCGACGCAGCATGGAGAGTCCATGTTGAAGAAAAAGGATGAGTTTGAGGATATTTTGGAAGAAAGGAGGAATTCCAGTGATCTGAGATACGCCCTCAGGTCGTACACACCCCCCCTGTATAAAGAGGTGACTCCGGCCACAGCCAATGAGCTGAAGGACATGGTGCTGCAGTCAGACCCGCTGTGCTTTGTCGTCAGACAGGTAGAAATCTGGTGACAGATTGTTGTTACACTGTGTAACTGAACGTTTCAGCCCTGAAGTATTTTGAGTAAAATACTTAATAAATAACATATTACAAGTTCTTTTTTACTCTCACTTTGGTTCTTTGATTTGATAATTTATTGTTAAACAAAATTAATTTTTTTTTTGTTTTTTTTTAAATTGACTCCCCTAACTTCATGTCAGTCCAATTTTTCTGAGGACAGTGAATGCATCATTGTCATTACTGTGTAAATCTAGGATAGCCAATCAGAGCTGAGAGGTTCAGTTCATTTCTGGGTTCATTTGAATTGTTGGCCATATATATAATAAATATTTAATTACAGGTCTCCACTGAGAGCGGGCGGCCTGTGGATGAGGTCCAGGCTGAGGCCTCGGCCATCCTGGAAGAGATGGCCCACGGCCTGCAGCTCAGCACCGTTCGCTTCTTTGCCTTCACACTCAGCAAAGTCTTTAAAACCTTGTTCCGCAGCATCCACGTCAATGAGGATGGAATCCAGAGGGTGAGCAGACACACAAACAGCCTCGTCATGTGACAGTTTCATCTGCAGAGAGGATTTATGGACAAACACACAACCTGTGCTTGTGCTGTGGTCAGCTCCAGCAGGCTGTGCAGGAGAATCCTGTCGTGCTGCTGCCCAGTCACCGTAGTTACCTGGACTTTCTGCTGATGTCCTACATCCTGTACACCTATGACACGCCCCTACCGGTCATTGCTGCTGGCATGGGTAAACGCTGCACACAACCGTGGAGTAACTCAGTAAACACTTAGATGTCAAAATAATTATGCATTATTTCTTCAATTTTGAATTTATGTTATAATTTTATTGATTAATCTTCATTATTTTCTCACACGTTTAGCTCTAACTCTACATAAATGAAACTATAATGGTATTTCTCCTTCCTTTCGCAGACTTTATGGGAATGAAGATGGTTGGAGAGATGCTGAGAAAGTCCGGAGCCTTCTTCATCCGGCGCTCATTTGGTGGAGACAAGCTGTACTGGGCCGTCTTCTCAGAATATGTCCAGACTTTACTGAAGGTCCGTAACCAGCTGAACCCACAGACCAGAGCTCTTTGCATGACCTGTTGAATCAAATCAATCAGCATTGGTTAAATGTCTGGAACTTCTCTTTGTTTTTCCAGAAGGGTTACGCACCAATTGAGTTCTTCTTAGAAGGAACCAGGAGCCGAACGTCTAAGTCTTTGACTCCAAAGTTAGGTAAAGAACAGCTAACGTCTCCTGATCATCTATTATATATTATATTAGGGGTGGGTATTGGCAAGAATCTGGTGATACTAGATACTAGAGTGTGTTGATTTTATCACCGTCTTCTCTCAGGTCTGTTGAACGTGGTCCTGGAACCCTTCTTCAAAGGGGAAGTGTACGACGTCACCCTGTTACCAGTGAGCATCAGCTACGAGAGGATCTTAGAAGAGTCACTCTACGCCAGAGAACTGCTGGGTGTGCCCAAACCCAAAGAGTCCACTTCAGTGAGTCACTTCAGTTTCAGTCAGGGGACGAGTTACATCCGCTCAGAATGTTGTTAGATTCCACCAATGTTTCTTCTCTGGTCGTAGGGTCTGTTCAAAGCCAGGAAGGTCCTCAGTGAAGACTACGGCAGCATCCATGTTTACTTTGGTCAACCTGTGTCTGTCAGGAAACTGTCTGAGGGTCGAGTCAAACGCAGCCAGTTCAACCTCATGCCAAGGTGAGATTGAAATGAAAAGACAAGTTAAAAAATGCTAGTTAAAATCTATTTGAGAAGTTAATGAAACTAAGATGATGGAAAATTGTAACAGAAATTTCTTAATTCCTAATCACAATATCTGTTCAGTGATTAGAACCAGTCTGAATATTTGTCTTTTTTTTTATTTTGTTTTTTAGACATATTCCAAAGAGGCCTGGCGAGGATATCAACAAGGTTGTGATTGAACTGGCCTACCAGCTGGTCCAGAACCAGCAGGCTAACATGGTTCTGAATCCTTTCGTCCTCCTGGCCACCCTGCTGCTCCAGAACCACCATCAGAGCCTGGCGTCGGGGCAGAAACCTGGGATGAAGCTGCAGGAGCTCACGGACCGAGCGCTGTGGCTGAGGGATCTGTCTCGACTCTTCGGCGCCTGTCTTCAGTGGCCTGGTACCGTTTACGCCTCAGACACTCTGTCCTCCCGCAGCACCACAGTCACACTGTAGACTCTGTGTACTCAAGTACTCTGACCAACAAAGGACTCAGTGTTCAGACCAGATGAAGATTCTGATGTTTGTCAGAAGAGTTGACAATGTTAGTAGTAGTGGTGGGATTAGATAGAAATAATAATAATAATTTATTAGAGATACTATATATAATAATTGTGCAGCATATATAATGAGTATTAAATTAAAAAAAAGGGGTTCAGTGGTAGGTTTGAAGTTCGGTTTGAAGTCTTGAAGTACTACCACCTGGATATTACTCTGTGACATTACACCCAACAAATACTTTTACACTCCCTTTGTGTCCATCAGACGACAGGCCTCCAGCAGAGGTCGTCTCCTCCAGCCTTAGACTCCACCCGGGCCTGGTCACCATCTCTGAGGGAAGAGTCCAACTGGCTCTGCATCAAGGTACACCTGGCTTTAGAAAAAATGTCAACTTTTCACAGATCATTTTTTTCATTTAGAGAATTCTCAGTGATGTGGAGAACAAAAGTTGAAGTTAGAATGATCTTTCCAACCAGGAGGACAGCTGAGTCCTGGGGAGCCTCACGGAGCTTCTTCTCCAGAGGAGGAGCTCTTTAACCAGGCGGTCATCATCCTGTCCTGCGTCTCCTACAGGAACCAGATGCTACACGTGTTTGTCGGTCCTGCGCTGGTGGCGTCAGCCATGAACATTTCCTCCTCCACGCAAAAAAGTAAGAGAGTGAAAATATTTCTGATGATTTGGTCAAATGAATCTGTTAAGGGTCAACCTTAACTCAAATTGAATCAAAGTCTACTGAACCGTTGTCTGCTGTCACTGCACCACCGTCTCCAACACCAGACTAAGAATAACACACTGTTCTGTTTCTTCTTTCAGATGAAATCGCAAACAGTCACAGCTTTCTCAGGAACATGTTCTTTCATGAGTTCATCCTCTGTCCTGGAGGAACCAATCAGGTTCGAAAAACTGCTGTCCAACATGTCTGACTCAGTTGGTCTGGTAATGGTCTGGACATGAGTCCAAGTTCACCCCGTGTCTCCTGTCCTGCAGGACTTGTCCATGTCCTTCGACCTGCTGGAAAAGGCCAGAGCGCTGGACGTCTTCTCGCACCATGTCCTGGTGCCGGAGGAAGGACACAGAACCCTGAGCTTCCTCAGCAGCCTGCTGGACCCATTCCTACAAGGCTACCAGGTGATGGAGACTCACGGCCGTTGTTCTAAAAACACGGTCCTTGGTGCTGGACTTGGTCTTAAAATATTTTTTTTAATATAATATTTAAAAAATAAGACTAAAACATACAAAATATCCTGCATTTGTACTTCAGTTTCATAGTGTAGCGGTTAGCATGCCTACCTTGGAAGCAGAGAGTCCTGGGTTCGATTCCCAGAGGAACTACATGCTTGGTGCCTGCATGCGGCAGCCTGTTTACAGTATTATTCCCAAATATTATTATTAATTATGGTTTAACGTCACAAAAATACCCTTTATGTCCGCTAGAGGGTGCTGTGGGCACACTCAACTGTTGCTACACTCTTCCTGTGTGTGTGTTTCCAGATGGTGTGCAGGGTCCTGTTGTGAATCAAAGGGCGACACATTAACAGATAAACAGTTTGTTCCAGATGTCAGGAAGTTCATAGTCAAACAAATTCTCGCAGGTTTGAATTTTATTTTTCAAATTTCTACACTTTGCGTTTCCACCCGCTGAGTATTTTGTTTTTTTTCTAACCAGGTCGACTGAAATACTCTGAGGTCTTGTCATCGGACCTGCAGAAAAACGCTCTGGCTGCTCTGTCCAGACTTGGAGCCGTGCAGAAAATCAAAGGGTCGGTTCTGGTTCTTCTGACACGGTTCTGTTTTTTTTTATACCATAACTAAAATAAATGAACTAATTTCATTCATATTCTCTCCTCAGAGCATCACAGGGAAATCTGAAGGTCAACAAGGTGATGGTGAACTGGCTGGAAGACACTCTGGGTGAGAAGGAAGCTGCCTGACCACACATTTATAATAGCGCCCCCTTTCTGTAGATGTTTCTACTAAAAAAAATGTGTCTACTTTTTAGAAAATTGTGTGTTAGGGGAAAAAAGACATTTCAATCAGAATGTGAGGGGAAAAAAGACATTTCAATCAGAATGACTGATGGCTGCCTTGGGGTCTTCTTTTACCAAAGTGAAAACGCTGCCATGGAGCAGTTTTGAATCTGATTTAATCAGAGAAAAATAACTAACATTTGAAACATTTTCTCTTTGTTCAGGAGGAAAACTTCCCACTCAGGAATCCAAAATGTCCCACCTTTGATCCACCAACCACGTCGGCCAAAAGAGACAGAGAGGTTGGCTCCTCCTCCTCCTCCGAGCTCCGACCCAACGCCATGACGTCTCGGCTTTTTTCTCCTGTGTGTGTTGGTTTCCTGCAGAGGTTCTGTGTGTCTGTTCACACAGTGGGTCTGGTGTAAAAGTGAATCACATCTATTTATTTACATTGAAAAATCTCACTGTTAACATTTACACTACGACAGTTAAACCTTCAAAAACAAACAGCTTTTTTTTTCACACTTTAGCTTCACGACCTGAGTTCCGGAGGCTTCTCTTTGGTTCTCAGCCATTAGTCTGGTCCAGGGTTGGGTTAAACCTGCGCTTCTGTTGTTGCTTTTGCTTCATAAGAGGAAATGGTCATCAGTGATTGGCCGATACTGTCCACAGACATGGAAAAAGAAATGTGTCCTGACGTTGATGAGTGCTGCTGCAGCGTCAGTGTGTTGAAAGACGGGACGTTTTTATAACGAGGTGTGACGCGGCGTTCACGTCCCATCACTGAGAACAACGCTGACCCTCTGAGGAGCAGGGACTCGAACCTCCTCCCACTGTAACACCTGAACACACTCCTACCTCCGTCTGCCTTTACTGCCAAAGTTAGGACGTCCTCATGTTGTCACGCCACTCCAGTGTCAAAGAACAGTAACCTCACTGTCAGCACATTACCCAGAATGCAAGACGACAGGGACAAGCTTTAATATGTTACATGAAATTTATTTGTGTGTGTGTGTGTGTGTTTTTCTAAAGTGTGTGTCTGTTGGTGAAGGAGTGAGGCCTGGATTATTTAAAAGAAAAGTCATTAATAAAATATTTCAAAGTTTCCTCTGCTCCACGTCTCTTTATTCCATGGGAGATATTTTTATACATCTGGAGTTGAACCCTCAACTTTAGAAAGAATTGAATGAGAAATCACTGTTCATTTTAATAAAAGTTTTTTTTTTGTTTTTTTTTTACTTCTTTTAACCAGTTCTTTAAACTGTAGAAAAACAAACAGTTTATTTTGAGTTTTGTAGGAAACTAATTCAACCTAATTTGTTTTTTACTTCTTTTATCCAGTTCTTGAAACCGTAAAAAAAAAAAAACAGTTTATTTAGAGTTTTATAAAAAACTAATTCAACCTATGAACTAAATATGATCTGAGAAGCAGCTGAGAGAAAAGTCAGTGAAAAACACTGATCAAAAGTCTTCACAAAAAGGTCCATGTGACCATGTGTCAATCACATATTTTAATTTGATAAATTCATGAATTTTATTTCTTAAAAGGTTTACAGTCCAAATTATCTGGTGCTCCAAAACAAAATCTTTACACACAAATAAAAAAATCAGAAAATAAATGGTCAAAAAATCCTAGTTTGTCTACTTTGTATTTTCACAAACCAACACCGACACAGGTGGAAACAATACTGTGATTAACTTCAACAGAACTCCGGGCTGTGATTGTGAACGGATGCAGCTGCTGCAGTGACGCAGTGCCAGAAAAAAACCGCTAGGTGTCAGCCTTGACCGTGGCTGAGCCCACACCCCGCACACGTGCAGCTCCAGCCTCTTCCCTCAGCAGGTGTTTCAGATCAGCTGCTGATTACGTCACTGCTGCTGCAGCTCTGTCACCAGTCTGAACCACACAGTACTTCATCTGACACCGGCCCAGTCTGGACCATGAAGAGATAAATATCTACACACACTCACTCTCACAGGTCAGTACACACACACACACACACACTCAGATCAGAAGTTTCTCCTGAACTTAATTCAAGAAACAAAATCCTCTTAATTTATTTAAAACAATAATAAAAGATCATTTTTACCAAAGATTTATAACAGAGACGACCGTCACAGTCGGAGTGACGTGAGCCATATGTTGAATAACCCCACTGTACGTCCGCTTACCGATGCGTTAATACACACTCGATACGTTGTCACACACACCTGAAAATAAAAAAAACGAATCGTGTCATCAACTCCCAGCATGTTTCCCTGAAAAAAAAACAAAAAACATTTTCATTCCAACAAATCGTGTCATCAACTCCCAGCATGTTTTCCTGGTGGCTCAACCTCAGGTCAGTGGCCCGACTCGTGTCAGAGCGGCCTGTGTACAAAGGCACGTCTGAAAACAATGGGTTTTCCACCGTGAAGTGAGATGTACCTAAACTTTTAAATGTCGGAGCAGCTGCTCAGGGGTTTCATGAAGACTTAAATATTCTGGCTTCAAACTCCTTCACTGACGAGGAAAAAAAACCCAGAACCGCGGCCTGACACCACAGGGACTGGTACCGACTCTGATCCATAAGAGAGAACTGATTTCCAGCAGTTTGTTGTGAACCCGTCTCCTCAGCCTGGAATGCCTTCCAGAAATCCCACGGCAGAAGTTGTGAAATAAAAACATGTTTTTTCCCTCCGTGGTGACTGAAGTCCTGACTGTGATAATCCCTGACGGAGCAGCCTGATTGGCTGGTTGGATCTGCTGGGTAACGCCGCAGGAAATGCTTCATAAGATGACTGTTGTTACATGACGTGGATGTTCATTAGGACTGACGTCAGGAGGACAACCAGGGTGGGCCACAGAGACTGGGCTACAGAGACTGGGCTACAGAGACTGGGCCACAGAGACTGGGCTACAGAGACTAGGCTACAGAGATTGGGCCACAGAGACTGGGCTATAGAGACTGGGCTACAGAGGGTGGGCCACAGAGACCCCCCCCACACACGCAATCCTGTAGTGAATCTAAAAATAGCCTCTGAATCTTTGCAGCCGAGACGTGAAGCTGAATAATTGAATGATCCTCCAGTTCAGCTCTTATTACTGCCCCCCCCCTGCCCCC